TGAGAGGATTCACCAGAGACAGAGTGGGGAGCAGAACAGGCAGATCGATGAAGTACACTGCTAAGGGGAGCAGCAGGCGGGTCAGGAGAGGTCTGCCACGCCATGTGGTCACCTCCGGGGCAGGCGGCAGGCGGGAATCGAACTCATGCAGAAGTGGCTTCAGATTCTCAGCGCTGTGCTTTAACCCGCTGCACCACCAGGGAGGGCCCAAAGAAGTTTTTTAACAACAGAAAAGTGATGAAGTCATTTATGGTGGAAAATCTTTCAGTCAATCATTCTTACTGAGTGTTCAGAAATTGAGTGTGAAGCATCTTCTATGTCATGGAAGTTTTTTCCCTGTTCAGACTCCATGAAAGTCAGGCTGGTTAAATCTGCTGCATCCGGCAGATTTGAGAAACATGCTATTCCACAGAGGAAAGGCAAGAACTTTTTATTATAGCCTCAGGAAGAATTTTCAAGGATATAGATTACTCCATCAAGGAACTATTGCCTTTGATTTAAAGTTCTGTAACATGTGTGCTTAGTTAGTCTCTGGACTTAGTGGGAGTTAAAAAAAAAACAACTATTTCTATTACATTTATTTTGCATTGTTGGTGATTAAAGGAAAGAATATAGCTAGGGAAATGACCCTGCATAAAATTAAAGGATATATATTTATCTTTAAGCTTATTGAAAGAAATGGTAAGTTTAGTATCAAAGTGGACCATTTTGTGGCATATTGACAAACCGATGCTCGTAGTGGTTTTGTTTATAATAAACACTGAGCGTTGTAGAACAGGAATTTAGAACTTTCCCTATAGTGGTATTTGAAACATTCTAGGTATGCAAAGATGAACATCATCAATAAAGCAAAGACATTTGTGTGAAGATGTGAGAGTCAAAATAATTGGGGAGGAAATTGATTTAGTAGTTACTTTGGGAGAACTTTGTAGGTTGATTCAAGTCAATACTTAGAAGTTGTAATGTGCAGTATTATGGGGAGAAAGGAAATGGAGCTAATTCTAAGTCAGAGAAGAGAGCAAGATCCCCTCTAGATGGTGGGGTGGGGCCCAGACACGAGAGTGGGCTAGTGACATTTGATTTCATGTGAATTGGGTCTAGAACAATTTCCACCCTAAGTACAGGAGAGCAGAGATAGTATTGTAGGTGGAGAGAACATCATAGGTATCTGAGTTAGAGAGAGAGCCACTTGAGCTTACAGAGCTGTGATGGTAGATAGTATTTGAAATTGTTTTAATTCTTAACTGAGGAGTTTGGCCTTAATTCATTAAGGATTGTGGATCCATTGATAGTTTTGAACCATAAAACAGGCATTTAATGATTCCACAAATACGTACCTAGAACACTCTGTGAGGCACTGACAGCTCAGCTGGGGCACAGGAAAGGGGTCTGACATTGGTGACAGAGGTCTGTTTTGACAGTCAAGGTCTCTCAGTTTCTTTAAAAAGTTTTCATCCCAGTGATGTTGATGGTAATGCTGGTCGTTTTCTGCATTGCATGTACTGTCAGAATCACCTAATTCTGACATGTGTCTTGTTAATCTCCTTTGGACAAAGAAACCGAGATTTAGCTGAGTTAGCTTCCTTGGTCCAGGTCACATGACTGAGTGGGAGAGCTGGGATTGGAACCCAGGGTCCATCTATTTTAAGTTTGCTTAACCAATACCAGCAAATGCTGCCTGTGTTACCTGCTAATGTCACTGCCAGTCCACCTTTTCTGGAAGCCTGGCTGCTTTTACTGTGTTCTTTATTTTCTGGCAGGCTGTGTGCTTCTCTGCTGAGTTCCCAGTTGTCTTTTTAATGCTGCAGTTATTCCAGGCCTGGGGTAACTGGCATGTCAGTGTTCTTGCACATCATGTTTATTAATTTACATAGCATTTTCATGGACTAGGAGCACCTCAATATCTTGTTTGTTCATTGCTTTATCTGTGTGACCTAGAGTAAACATACAGTGCCTGCATCTGAAAATTATTTTGTGAAATGGGTGACCTCTGGAGCCCCATCAACTTTGGGGGTTGAGCATTAACAAAGAAGGAATGGTTGTTCTGGGATTCTTGGGCACTCTGGAGAGCATCATCTAAATTCTTCTCAATGCTGACCCTTGGTCTTACTTGCAGTGACAGTCATGTTTATGAACTTTCTGAATCAGGCTTCATGGACTGTTAAGTGCTTCTCAGCATCAGGGAACCAACCCTGTGTCCATAACCTCTAAAACTGCTCCACTTTCAGAGTAGCCTCTTTGGCCACTCTGCATATTTTTCACTTTTGAATCTCTCCTAGCTATATATTTTTTTTTTCGTCCTTGAAACTCTCCCTCCCCCCCATTCCAGACCAACTAAATCAGGACATGATGGGTGGGGCCTAAGGCTTGGCACTTGTTTAGAGTGTACTAAGTGACTCCCTATGCCTGTCTGGCTGCTGCTCCCTATATTGTTCCCTTTAATCACCGATCCTGAACCTAAATGGTCCCAGTGAATCCTAATAATTTTAACACCTCTGGTCATTTATATTCTGTTTTCAATTTTTAATAAAATTTTTTTTGTGCCTCTTAATTGTTTTTACTGATCCACTTCAGGCTGTCCCAGATCTTTGAATCTGTCTGATTGATAAGATAACTTAATGTCATTTAAAGATCATTAAAATAGACTACTGAGAAAGCCACATTTAGGTTCCACTTAGATTTTAAAAGGACTTCATAGTGTGCCAGCTATTTATCTTTCAAAGACACGTGTATATAAACATTGAAGCATACATAAAAGAAAAAGGACTGAAAAGATGTATTCAAATATCTGGTGATTATTAGAATTCCATGAATTTTTCCCCCTTTGTTTTCATATCTAAATTACAAATTTTCTACAGTGAACATACATTCTATATTTTCAAAACCAGTCTGATAGAGAAAATATACCTTACACAAAGGAGGGGTGTATGAATGTGCTGTTTTTAGCTCATGAGGCTAAAATATTCTGTGGGGACTAGCACAGAGAATAGTACTATACTAAGAGCGAGTTAATAACAAGCTTGTCACAAAAAGCTAGGATTTGGATACTTGTAATTTTTGGTTTTGCTTATTATATAGCTAAGCTAAGATCATCTTATTCAGTCCTTGGCATTCTATTTGAACAAATGAGTGTCCTGACTCTGTAGCCGATTAGGGGTTCCATATAACATTGATGAGCTACTGTTTTGTTTTTAATGTCAACAAGTTAATTGTAATGATAGTGTGTTTTTTGGTGGTGGTTTCTGAAAACTTATACCATGCACAGAAGTTGACCTAGTACTTGTTCATCTTTTTGCAGTGGCTTATTCCTGGAGTTGAACACATGCATTTTAATTTCAATTTTAAATAAGACACAATTAGAATAAGTGGTTTAGAGCAAAACTTAACAGTAGTTATCTCTAGGTACTGTTGTCAAGTGATTTTAACAGTACTTAAAAAATAAAAACAAAGCACTCAATTCCAAACACATGTTTAGTTTTTACTCTTACTTTTGTCAAAATAGCTTCCTTTGAAAATAAGGAGGTGGGAGGATCTATTGCTGAATTAAGGGGAAAGTGGCATTATGTGGTAATGATTCAGTAGGATGGTTTCTTCTGAAACGCTGTTTTGCTAATCCTTGGGGAAATTTGGCTGTGAGCATGCAATTATTACATTTTTTATCCACAGGATGGGCTAAAGTCGGCACCAATATCCCTCATGATTGCCAGAGGCAACATACTGATTTAATTTGTGCCCCTGTGGCAGATAATTTTGAATAATTTTAGTATTTTTTTTTAAAGATTTATTTATTTGTACAGAACTGGGGTACAGGCCAGAGATGTGGAGGGTGAGAGGATTCACCAGAGACAGAGAGGGGAGCAGAACAGGCAGATCGACAAAGTATACTGCTGAGGGGAGCAGTGGGCTGGTCAGGAGAGGTCTGCCACGCCATGTGGTCACCTCCAGGGCAGGCGGGAATCAAACTCATGTGGAAGTGGCTTAAGCTTCTTGGTGCTGTGCTTTAACCCTCTGTGCCACCAGGGAGGGCCTAGTTTTAGCATTTTTAAAAAAACTACTTTTTCTATTTCCTTCCCAGTCTCTTACCTTTTGTTGCTTCACTACACTACTCTTCTGAGAGAGTTCTGAGGCATTTGTTTTGGTTGAGGAGAGTTGAAACATTGAGGGCTCCAGTTGGTTGTCCAGAGGACAGTCGCCAGTGTCGCTGTCAAAGTCTTGGGGGAAGTGGAGGACAGCAGGGGGTAGATGGCAGTGATGCTACACCTTGTAGTACCTTTCCCTCTTCCTTTATGGCATAGAATATCTTTGTAGGCCAGAGGTGTGTGTGGTGGGGTGGTAGTGAGAATGTTCAGTAGAGAAGGGAGCAGACCAGATGAAATACACTGCAAAGGGGAGCAGCGGGCTATACAGGAGAGGTCTGGTGGGCTGTATGTTGGTCATCTCCCTAGCCAGGGATGAACTCAGGCCTTAGAGGTGGTAGTGCTGAGATTTAACCTCTGGGCCACTAGGGAGAGCCGTAATAGCACCTCTTAATTAGGCATGTTTAAAACATGACTTGGGGCTTCAAAAAGTACCTTAAGAGGGCTGTGTTTGGGGGATTATAAATTCTGTTGGTGTACACATTTCTCGAAGGGCTTACCTCCATCATTCCATTTCCTTCTTGTGCCTTTGATAGTTTTGTCATGCAAACAGTTGTTTAATATGGAAGGCCCCTACCTAGATGCACCTAATTCGTATACCAGAGGCATAGTGCAGGGCCAAATGATCTGCTGGCCAGTGTTCCTTATGGGTGTGCAGGGCAGGCCATGCCATTCTAGTGTTGTGCAGTAAGGTCTTTGGGGTGGGCATACTTTTCTAGACTGTGTGCAAAAGCCATTTTTATGTAATAGATATTTGCTTTATTAGCATATTACGATAATCAGAAGAGAGAGACAAAGTTAATTCTTACACTAGTTGTGTCCAGAAATTCAAGTTTTTTTAAAAATAAATTTATTTTAATGCAGAGTGGACACAAATATCTACCAGATATCTTCGGGAGCAGCTGGCGAAGATTTCTGACTTTTACCACATGGCTTCCAGCACAGGTGACGGCCCTATTCCTGTGCCTCCAGATGTGGAGCAAGCCATCAGGCAGTGGGAGTACAATGAGAAGCTGGCATTTCATATGTTCCAGGTACCCTTTCCAAGAAACTTAAGACTGAACAGCTTTCTATTTGAAAAAGAGAGCAAATTCCTTAGTCTAATTTTCTCTAGGTTAAATTGTACCTTTATGTGAAGTGCAAGACAGTCAGCAAAACTAGTATGACATTTCTTTCATTGACTTGTGTTCCAGGTAACTAACACATTTGGTCTATGGTGACAGATTCTCACTATACTTATTGATCTCCAGCTATCAATGACATCAACTTCTTAACGCCACTAATTTCTTTGCAATTGTGCTATTAAATATAATCATTTTGATTTTTATTTTGTAAAAACTGGATGTATTTAGTCAAAAACAAGCTTTTTGCTGATGCCTTCTGTCTCATAGTGCATCTCCTTTAGGATTTGTTATTCAAGATAAAAATTATGTTAATTTTATTCAGCTATCATTTTGAGTGCAGTTGAGTGTCAAAAGCTTTTAGGACTGACTGGACTTTCATCCAGATAAACTGATATAATGGCCAGCAGAGGGCGCTCGTGCTGTTATATGCCTACTTCTGGTTGGTGGAAGAAGTGTCTTCAGCTGAAGTTGTACTGTTATATTACTAGTATTGACTTTCACTATCTGCTTTCTTGATCAAAGAGGAAGGGAGTAGAAAAGATGTGTGGTTTCTAAATTTCCTTCTTGGAACAGGTGGTAAATGACTTTTTCTGAGAGCTGAAAATAGGAAGGATCTCGGTCATTTTGGGAAGTAGTATTTTATGTCAATAAAAACTGTCTTACAAATTCTAGGTCAATAAAAACTGTCTTACAAATTCTAGCACCATTTAGCAGAGAACAACCTCAGTATGTATTCTGATCTCCTATCTGACTTTTTGGAGCTAAGGATTAAGCCTGCACTTTTATTTTCAGAAGTATTACTTTATGTATTGGAACATTGAAATCGCTCTCATTTCTAGGAAGCAATTAGGCCTTAAACTGATGGAGCTAATTGAAATATTAATGTTAAAAATTCAAATCTCATTAATTTTCACTTGTAATGCTCTGGAATATGAAACTAACCCTAGATACATGTGCAAACATGTAGAGAAATTGTGGGCTAGGGACCGGTAACATCTTGAGAATGGACTAGTATGTACTCATTGTAAATCATGTTTATGAATCTTTTTATTTTGAACCTTGTATTCAACATCTCTTTATACCTTAAAGCAAAATTCCATTTTATGTATTCATTTTTTTGGTTTTTAAACTTTTAATCTGCATATTTCCTGTGTCTAACCTTTTAACTATTTGATTCTAAATACCTAAAAAACTCAGAATTAGCAATAAGCAAATTCTTTGCTATTGTCTTACATCACACTAATCATTTAGTTACTAAAACTATAGTTGAGCAGTATAACCATGGTAGTGGACCATTGGTGGTGATACATCATTTGTCAAAAGTTGCTGGGAATAAAATAGGAGTACATATTTACCACTCAGGTTTTTTTTTTTTTTTTTTTTTTTTTAAGATTTATTTATTTGTACAGAACGGGGGTACAGGCCAGAGGCTCAGGGGCGGTGAGAGGCTTCACCAGAGACAGAGAGGGGAGCAGAACAGGCAGATCTATGAAGTACACTGCTGAGGGGAGCAGCGGGCGGGTCAGGAGAGGTCTGCCACGCCATGTGGTCACCTCCGGGGCAGGCGGGAATCAAACTCATGCGGAAGTGGCTTTAGCTTCTCAAAGCAGTGCTTTAACCCACTGCGCCACTAGGGAGGGCCCACCACTCAGGTTTTTAACAGATTGACCATAAAAGTGTAAGTGACTTTCTCTGAAAATGTTGCTCTTTGTTTTCTACCAAATAGGATCTTTTATGGTATAAATCATTGTACATGCCTATAAGATAACTTTGACTATGTATGTACATGGTGTCATAAGTAAAAGTGTTAATAATGCTTATGTCAAGAGGGGTTCTGCTACTCAGGACATTGTGGAATTTTGTGGTTATATTACTGTTTTTTAGTTGGTATATTTATATACTTTGTTTTACTATAGAGTCTTTCCAGTTCTGTATATTATAGTTAATTAGGCTTTTACATTGATTTTTAACATTACATTCTCTAGGTAGACTATAGCATCTAAAATTTATTTTAGAATGGAGAAGAATACCACTAAATCATTGGCATTGATTAGGATTAGGTCTGGTGGGATCTCAAACTCCTGGTGTGATGATGGTAGGATGGACACTTTTGTTCTTTTTGATTATCACCATTGACAAAGTTTCCTCCTTGTGTATAGTCACAAGTTCCTGCTCCCCAGTATTTTACCAGGCACTTGAGAGCCCTGCAGATCTGTTAGCTTCTCAATTTCCTGTATGGTAGGAATGAACTTTTTCAACCTAAAGTGAAACAGATTACACAAAAACAGAAAAACAAAACAAAACAAAATATGCTAATTCCTTGTTTTGTTTGGAATTTAGATTGTGGTCATTTAGAGCATAGTTTACTACAATACAAATAGTAAAAGCAGAGATACATTGCTTTTACATTATATTGACATACAGTATTGCTCTTTGAACTTTAGTTGGTTTTGCTTTAATATCATTAGTGTATTTTTTCTTATTTAAGGAAGGAATGCTAGAAAAACATGAATATTTATCATGGATCCTGGATGTCTTGGAAAAGATCAGGCCAATGGATGATGACCTTCTTAAACTCCTGTTACCACTAATGCTGCAGGTATATTGCCCGTGGCCATGAGCCCAGAAATGAGGCATGTAAGAGTGACTAAATAGAAGTGGAGGAAGAATTATTTTCCTTTTGAAATAGAAGGAGAAAAAGGGTCTTGATGCTACAGTGCATGAGGTGATGATGAAGCTTATAGTTCTAACAATCATTTATATTGGCCATGTTCCTCAGTAAGCTAAGCAGACAGGTTTTTAAACCTGTGTCTCCCTTTCACATGGATCTCAGTGGGAACAAATTGTATCATTTATATTGGCCATGTTCCTCAGTAAGCTAAGCAGACAGGTTTTTAAACCTGTGTCTCCCTTTCACATGGATCTCAGTGGCAACAAATTGTATCATATAATTTTGAAGTTCTAGAAGATCTTTATATTCTTTTTACATTCTTTGAGCTATTGGGGGTTAGGTAACTTTCTATTTTAATGATTGGTCTAAGATGTTAAAATTTAGGTGCTACGGATGAAATTTATTCAAGACAAAAATTTCTAGGGAAAGGTAATACATGAGTTGACAATTTAAACAATTTGAGACTACATAGTGAAAAATTATTTCTTCCCCTACCCCATGACCCTCCAGCTAGTCCCATGGGACTGTGTCCAATGGTGTCCTGTGCTTTCTCCCTGCACAGGACACTAGCCAGACAGGTGGTTGCTGAGCCCCTGAGATGTGCATTAAGTGTAGAATGTGCAACCAGATTTCAGACTTACTATTTCAAGAGTGTGTCCTTTCTGTGTTGATTACATGATGGAATAATAACATTTGTAATATAGCAGGTTAAATAGAAAAATGTTAGTTTTTAATTTTGTCTTATTTGTTTGATAACTACTACAAAAATTCTGATTACATATGTGGCTTGCATTACATTTCTATTATACAGTATTCTTCTATATAGTACCTTTTGAAGGTTATTTTTTTATTTAAATGGGAAAAGGAAAAATATGTATTAAAATAGTTGTTTCACTGAACAGCACAAGACATGACTGAAATCTGGAGTCCTTTTTCTTCCTTAGTACTCAGATGAGTTTGTTCAGTCGGCCTACCTGTCTCGTCGTCTTGCTTACTTCTGTGCCCGGCGTCTTGCCTTGCTGCTGAGTGATAGCCCCAGCCTTCTTGCTGCCCACTCGCCCCACATGATGATTGGATCAAACAACTCAAGCATTGGGACCCCCAGTCCAGGTCCCCCAGGCCCGGGTATGAGCCCAGCACAGCTCGCCTTTTCTGACTTCCTTTCCTGTGCACAGCATGGTCCTCTGGTTTATGGACTCAGTTGTATGTTGCAGGTAAGTCAAACATTTTATTGTTCTATTGTTAAAATTCTGTGTAGGAAGCAATTCAGTTGGGAATCTCATCTTCAGCTGTCTTATTACAATTCTGTTTTTCCCCTCTTCCAGGTAATTTATAAATTGACATTTCATTCTTTTATTTTCTATGTTATGTTATGTTCATCTAGAAGAGAGTTTATTGTAGTTGTCCTTTATTTATTTATTTTTTAAAGATTTATTTATTTGTGCATACAGAACTGGGGTACAGGCCAGAGGCTCAGGGGCGGTGAGAGGCTTCACCAGAGACAGAGTGGGGATAGTTGTTCTTTATTAGTACAATTAAGCAGCTGAAGAAGGAGTATTAAAAATCCTTCAGGGAACCTGTGAATTAAGTCACATATATTGTTTTTTCTGGAAAGTAAACTTTTCCATACAGCATTCTGGACCATTCTCAGACATTTACATTTTCAGTTGGTGATTCTTTAAAATTTAAATAATTTATCTTTGTCCATCTGCCAAGCATCATTATGTGGGTGATCTTTAAAAATCTAGTATCTTAAAGGCTACTGGGCAGATTCTTTCAGTAATGTAATGCAACCTTGCCCTAGATGTACACTCTGGTTAGGTTCATGTCATGTTTCTTGGGCTTTCAATGTGACCTGTTCCTTACTGAGGGGCTTTGGGGCAGGACGTGGCCATGAAGACATGTTTGTCACTCTGATAGAGTTTGCTATCTTGTTACAAAATAGTCTCATAAATGAGAATTTCCATATACCATGACACAGGCTGATGCACAGGGAACTGGGGATTTTGAGAAGTGAAACTTCTAGTCCAACTGAGAATTCATGAGACTTTCTGAAGGAAGTGGTTTTGATAACTACTTATAATGCAAGTTAAAAAAATAAGGGGCCCTCCCTTGGGGCGCAACGGGTTAGGATATTGCACTACAAGCTAGCTCCAGCTGTTTCAGTGTGAGTTCGATCCCCATCTGCCCCAGAGGTGACCACATGGTGTGGCAGACCTCTCCTGACCTGCCTGCTTCTCCCCTCAGTAGTGTACTTCGTCAACCTGCCTGTTCTGCTCCCCAGTCTGTCTCTGGTGTTGCCTCTCACCGTCCCTACACCTCTGGCTTGTACTCCAGTTCTGTATGTATAAATAAATAAATCTTTAGAAAAAAAGTATTAATGTTGTTACTGGAATTGGGTATAACATGGGAAAATATCTAGAGGATTATCAGTCATCTTGTGTGCAGGTTGGTATTAATGGAACATAAAGTGTAAAATCTGTAGGGAGTCAGGGCATAGAAGACTGGCTCTCTGGGGGCCTTGTAACTGGGATGTTATTGGAAAGTTTTATGCAGGAAGTGAACAAGTCAGTTGTGTCACTTAGTTGGTTTGTTTTGGTGATAGTAGTGGGAAGATGTATGGACTGGGGAAGACGCATGGGGAGATAGGAGGCAAAGAAATCAATTCGGAAGAGTGTTACAAAGTTCAGCATTGAACCATTTTGGATGGTTTTATCCTTAGGATCTCCTAGTGGTTAAGTTGAGAGGTTGTTACATGTGTGATTCTGAAGATGAAGGCAGATGATTGGCTAGCTAAATGGATTTGACTCATCTGGGGCCTCATGGCTTTTCAAAATACCAATATGGGTTGAATTATTTGAAGAGTTAGTAATAAGAGAACTCGTGGACCTAAGGGACAGTATTATTCAAATTTGGCAGGAGGGAAGCTATGGTGGCAACCAGAAAAGTTTGCAAAACTGGAGAAAAGAATGGTGAAGATACTATTGTTACAGAAACAAAGATAATGAGAATAGGAATAATAACTGTCATAATCATTTCGTAACACTTACTATATCCTAAAACAGGCCTGAAAAAGTGCAAAAGAGAGCCCAAACAGTGCTGCATCATTCCTAAGGGAGAGTGCCAAGGTGGAGACAGGCCACTGTCCGTGGGGTCTCACCCTTGCAAGTAATTGTAAGACCACTCAAGTTTAGTGTCCACCAACATTGTTGTTATTTAACAGATTAGGGAAAAGGAGTGAATGAGTTTTTGAGTCTCCAAATGATCACCCATTTCACCCCAGCTAGTGTGCACATTGTCCAAAAGTCCCAAACAAAGGCCACTTGTTTGGTGACAAAGTAGCACCCTGAAAACCAGATAGTGACAGACTCAGCAACATCAGGCGGTGGTACTGAGAACCAGAGGATGTGTTCAGCAATTCGAGACACTGGGCCAAGCCAGACAGTGCTTCTTGCAGATGTCGGACGCAGACCCGGAGGCAGGTGTGGTGGCTGAGCCTCTGCTGAGGTCTGGAAGTTATTCTGCTGACTCCCATGGAGGTCAGCTGCAGGATGCTGCTCTCTTCAGAGACTGGAAGCAGAATCCTCTTTTGAAGGAGGGCCAGTTAGTGCTTCCTATTTCAAGGCTAAGAGAAGAGTCTTTCTTTGTTTTAGGCTGTGTGCAGAATGAATCAAACTGGCTTTTGCCCTGCCTTATATCCTCTTTGGAGTCACCCACCTTACAAGCCTGCCCATTTAGTACTAATCAACTTGTTTTCTGTTTTCAGTCCAGGTAACTAATGAAGTGAGCTTGAACCCCATTGATCATTTTAGCTTATACCTGACTGGTCCATTTAGAGTTCCAGAGGCAGATATAAAGGGAAAAATGCCCACCCTGGTCTGTACTCAGGTCAGGACAGGCTTGTGGGCATGTGGGCTCTGAGCAGCCCGTCCCTACTAGAGCTGGGGGGAAGGGAAACATCCACCAGCAGTGGGCTGAAGCCTGCATGCCCTCAGTCCACTAAAGCCACCTTGCTTTGTAGCCTCTGGGGACTGCAGGGGTACAGCTGCAGTTCTAGGCACTGTTCTAAATTGTAATATATATATTAAGTCAGTTGTTTCTCAGAAGCATCCTATGAGATAGGAACTGATATTATTTCTAAAACACAAATAATGAAAAGGTGTACTAGGTCACATAGCAAGTAAGTAGCATGTAAAGTGCTAATTGCTTTTTTAGGTATCTCAGAAAGTTTCAGATAAGAGCCAGTAGTGGGCAGTGCAGAATAGGTTAGGAAAGTAAAAAGTTAACCAATATTGCTTTTAACAGTATGGTGGTCATTGATCTTTTAAAGAGTCATTTCCATTTGAATTATGGATGAGAAGCTGGATAAAGGTAGGTTGAGGAGTGATGAAATGTGAGGAGAAATATTACTACCTGTTCTTTTGAGAAACATGTCTATGAAGGGAATAGAAAGCATTACTGCTGGGTAAGCGGAACATTTTTTAAAAAGATTTATTTATTTATGCAGACAGAATACAGGCCAGAGGTGCAGGAGTAGTGAGAGGACTCACCAGAGACAGAGTGGGGAACAGAACAGTTAGATGAAGTACACTCCTGAGGGGAGCATGGGCAAGACAGGAGAGGTCTGCTGCGCCATGTGGGTCACCTCTGGGGCCAGGAATCAAGCTCTCACAGAAACAGTTGTGGCTAGCCTTGCAGTGCGGTGTTCTAACCCATTGCACCACTGGGGATGACATCAAGCAGAGCAGTTTTTAGAAATTGCTTTTGAGTGGGTAGATCTGAATATATTTTTAAGCCTAAGGTAAACCAGTGGAGGGTGAGTCCAAGAATTAGAGAGGAGGGTGCAGTGCCTGATTATTTTCCTGGGCCAGGGGGAGGCTGTGGGATGCAGAACATAGGGACGTTTTCCCCCATGGGTGGAAAATGAGGAGTCTCACCCTCACAAATAGGAGCATGCATGTAGAGATGTGGAGACAGAGGTATTGGTGGTCCAATGACTTAACCTTCTTCATATACGTCATCTGGTTTCATGGAGAAGTCTCTTAGATCATTAAAATCTAGCTCTTTTATATTTAATTTTGTATTTTAGAGAAATGAAAGGTTCCATTCATTCTTCAACTCATATAGAGGTTATCAAAGCAAGTATCTGCATATACTTTAGAGTCATTACAGACCTACTTTGCTACTTGTGAATTGGGGCAATGATGGTTCTTAACTTTACCACTTTGATAGGTTAAGGTTTGGATGACAAAGTTTCCAGGACAGTGTTCAGCATGGAAGGAGAACTTAATTACATGTGAGTGCTACTATTTTGTCTGCATTTAGCAGGCAGCTGGTTAGCATAGTGTTCTGGAATCAGCTTGGACCTGTTAAATGATCTCCTCAGCAGCTCAGATTCCTTTTTGGTGCAGCTACCACCCTCATGAGGTTTGTGACATGAGTTAAAAGGTCACAGGAAGTGCTTTGTAGCAGATGGTTGAGTAGAAAACATCAGCAAGTATCTAAGGCAGGTTAGGCAAACTACACCAGGCCAGCACAGGAGCTATTAATATATTTCACGAGTTATTAGAATAAGAAAGAAGAATATGTGACAGAAACTATAGATGGTCTGAAAAGCTTAAAATATTTACTATCTGGCTTTTTTTAGAAAAAGTTTACCACCCACTGTTCGAGTTACTGCATGCCCAGAATTTATGAAACTGCTTATCACACCATTATTTGAAAGATTAAAGACAAATTCCATTTTAGATTTCATAGTCTTAGAAATTACAGATGCTAAATCCACCTCATTTTTTTTTAAAGATTTATTTATGCATACAGAACTGGGGTACAGGCCAGAGGTGCAGGGGCGGCGACAGGCTTCCCAGAGACAGAATGGGGAGTAGAACAGGCAGATCTACCAAGTACACTGTTGAGGAGAGCAGCGGGCAGGTCAGGAGAGGTCTGCCATGCCATGTGGTCACCTCTGGGGCAGGAGGGAATCGAACTCATGTGGAAGTGGCTTTAGCTTCTCAGTGCTGTGCTTTAACCCGCTGCGCCACCAGGGAAGGCCTCCACCTCATTTTTTAAATGCATGTAAAAGATTGTAAAGTGATACTTTTTATATGAGTGCTGCATTTTTAGTTTTTCTATATTTTCTGTGCTGGAATAGAAGGTTATTAATTACAGTGTTCTTTAATTTTGCTTTGGCTGTATTGCCTTTCAAATTAATCTTGAAGTGTTGAAACTAGGGTAAGATGTTCATTTTTAAATCATTGGTGGGAAACTAGAATACAGTTATGATAAGGTGTAATTTTTACTTCGTAAGCTGTTATATTACTTTTCAGGATTTTTCTGCTTTACTTGCAGACTGTCACTCTATGCTGCCCAAGTGCCTTGGTGTGGAATTATTCCACAAATGACAATAAGAGCACAAACCCTGGATCACCCCTGGATCTGCTGCAGGTGGCCCCCTCCAGCCTGCCCATGCCAGGCGGGAACACAGCCTTCAATCAGCAGGTAGACTCTCTGTTTCAGTGGTCTGTGTGTGTTTCCCTTCTTCCGAGGCATCAGGGCTCAGTGGGACATGCCTGAGTTTTAGCATCACTGGTCAGGAGCCATTCCCAGCTCCCCTCTCTCCTGTCTGGGTGACCTTAGGGAAGCAGTGAGCCTTTCTGAACTGCAGATGTTCATGAAGTTGCTCCTTTCATTTTCATCTTCTTGTCCCAAAATACTTGCAGATTACCCCTCTCCATCAGTAATTGTAGTGGTGGTTTTCCTACATGGCTACAAGTCCATAGCAGTAGTTTGTGATACTTAGTCACTGTGGTATGCTTTTATTAGTATGGGGCTTTTTGGTTCAAAGACTGAAGAAAATCAAACCACTATTGTGACTAATATTTAGAATACGACCCCAGTTTGTCTAATAAATGGTTGTCTTAAATTAATAAAGTATGGTTAGTTACTTTCACACATAGAAGAATGACTCAAAGATGGTATTTTAGAACTTTTCAGCTTCCCATGTGGTGTCCTAGAAAAATTCACATGTTAAGTTTTTTTTTTTGTGTACATTTATTTTTATGAACATTTATTATTGAAAACTGGCATTGAATTGTCACTTGCAAATTTTAAAATGCACTAGTCCCACAACAGACTGAATTTCCTGTAATGAAATCAGGATTGTAGTTTGTTGGAGGGTACTTGCTCATGTGGAAAAACCTAACATGATTTAGACAGCCATTGTGGCTTTCCAAGCACACATTAATTAGAAGAAATTATCTTTCAGGTTCGAGCAAGAATTTATGAGGTAGAACAGCAGATAAAACAAAGAGGTCGTGCAGTAGAAGTTCGGTGGTCTTTTGACAAGTGCCAAGAGTCAACAGCAGGTACCGAACCCAAGGGAGAAGGAGTGCTTTTGAATGTTGGACTTTATGCTATGTTTTTCATTCTTGTAAATCATTCCATGTTAATCAGGACATTTTTGACAGACCACTCTGCATTTTGAGGAATTCTGTCTATGTCCTTTAGATTCTGATTGTTTAGAATGTTAGATTTGGTTTCATCAGCAATTCTTAAATACTAAGAATGTTATGGCTTTATGTGGCTTCTTTAACTACTTGTTTGATTTCCCCATCCAGGGGTGACTATTAGTCGGGTTTTGCACACATTGGAAGTCTTGGATCGTCACTGTTTTGACCGAACTGATTCCAGCAATTCTATGGAGACACTTTATCATAAGATTTTCTGGGCAAACCAAAACAAAGATAGCCAGGAGGTAATTTTTTTTCCCTTTCCTTACATACTTTATTATTATTATTTTTTAAGATTTATTTATTCATACAGAACTGGGGTACAGACCAGAGATGCGGAGGGTGAGAAGATTCACCAGGGACAGAGTGGGGAGCAGAACAGGCAGATCAAGGAAGTATACTACTGAGGGGAGCAGCGGGCTGGTCAGGAGAGGTCTGCCATGCCATGTGGATCACCTCCGGGGCAGGTGGGGATCGAACTCATACTGAAGTGACTTAAGCTTCTTAGTGCAGGGCTTTAACCCTCTGCGCCACCAGGGAGGGCCCATACTTTATTTTTATAAAGAAAATTCTGGCCCTCCCTGGTGGCGTAGAGGGTTAAGGCACAGTACAAAGAAGCTTAAGCCACTTCCGCATGAGTTCGATCCCCGCCTGCCCTGGAGGCAGACCTCTCAGCTCCTCTCAGCAGTGTACTTCGTCAATCTGCCTGTTCTGTGCCCCACTCTGTCTCTGGTGAATCCTCTCACCCTCCGCATCTCTGGCCTGTACCTCAGTTCTGTACGAATAAATAAATAAATCTTTGAAAAAAAAATGAAAATTCTGACAAAGTCTTACTTGTAATGTGTGATATTTTGTGAAACTATCTGTGCCTTGAAATCATTTGATTTTTGAACTATAATAATCCTTCTCTGTTAAAATGAAATGTCCCTTGGGCTGATCTACCTAGGTATATTGACTGAAAGATTTTTCTTGGCCCTTTGACATCATTCCTCATTTTAGTTTGAAAAGTATAGATTTCATCTAGTGATTGGACTTTACATAATGCTTTGATTTTTACTAAGGAGAAATGAATTTTAATATTTAGTGTGGCAAACTCCACCTACGACATGGTAGAATAGAGAGAATGAAATACTCTTTCCCCTGAAAACAACTAAATAGAAAACTAGAATAAAATCAGCTCAGGGGAGGATTAAAAGGCATATTGATAGGAACATAGGTGTTTCCTGAAGGTTTTATACTCAAGGTGGTAACTTGTATGGGAGAGGTGAGAAGTGGGAAAGATGAGTGAAGGAGCAAAGTAGGTTGCATTCAGGTGGAGACTCTCTACTAGTCCCACTGGGTATAGTCAGAATTACAGAAGAATTGTCCCTAAAGGGAGTGGTACTTATAGGTAGGCACAAGACTGTGCATACAGTCAACAGGAGATCAGTAGCCATGGATTTGGTTGCAGGGTGATAGTTGGCCAGCAGCAGGAATAGGAATGTTTCCTATCCTCCCCATTGGAAAGATCAGACAAAGGAAAAATTGGAGGTGGCATTGTGCACACCAAGCTGATCTGGGCTGAATCACATAGGATTAGGCACTTGGCAGAGTTGGTAGAAAAGCTCTCTACCCACTCGCTCTCTACAAATGAGTGATCTGTGGTGCCTGCAAGTCTGGATACTGTACCCAGTGGTGGTGGACAGTATGGGGCAAAGTGTTGTGTTCCCCTTGCTGGGCAGTGCAGGACTGCCTATGTCTGGTGGTTCATGCTCTGAGTATCATGACTGCTACCCAACCCCATGTGACTCATGCCATTCATGTCACAGAGGGGAGCAGCAGGGTGGTGGGAAAAGAACTTAGGATCTACAAAGCACTGAACATAGCTTGCTTTGTAGAAAGAGGAGCTCTAGTGGACTGGTACTATCTACCTTCCTAATGAGGACTGAGGCTGAGTCTGTGATTTCCAGCTTCTCTCATTTACCTACCTGTCAGCATTGTAAAAAAGAGAAATAAACAGTAGTAAGCCTAGAGCAGAGTACACCAACTCCAGAAAGCAAAAAAGCCAGCTCATAAACCTAGGAAGCAAGGAGCATCTAAACACAAGCTAGAAAGCAGAAGATTAGACATAGAGACATGTATAATGGAAATAGAGAATAGCATTAACAAAGAGCACAGAATAGCAATTTCTAAAATAGCAAATGAGGTACTAGAAGAGATTTACAAGATGAAAGGCAGGTACAGGGCTTTATAAAGACATCCAGGAGCAGAAAGAGTTCTTCACTAAAGATATTTAATATAGTAATGACATGTGATGAATATGTAAGGTATTTTAAATACAAATAAGCTGGCAGAAGAAAGAATTTCAGAAAAAGAAGCAAATGTACAAATTGCCAATTGGAAGAAGTGAGGAGGAGATCTAGGTAGAAATGTCAGATTCAGTTAAAAGAGGGAGCACAGGGGGCCCTCCCTGTTGGCACAGCGGGTTAAAGCACAGCACTAAGAAGCTTAAGCCACTTCCGCATGAGTTCAATTCCCGCCTGCCCTGGAGGAGATCCACATGGCAAGGCAGACCTCTCCTGACCTGCCCGCTGCTCCCCTCAGCAGTGTACTTCATTAATCTGCCTGTTCTGCTCCCCACTCTGTCTCTGGTGAATCCTCTCACCCTCCGCATCTCTGGCCTGTACCCCAGTTCTGTATGAATAAATAAATAAATCTTTAAAAAAAAAAAAAGAGGGAGCGCAGGTTAATGGGTATTCCAGAAGATGAGGAGGAGGAGAAGGGAACAGAAGCCAAATTTAAAGAAAACATAGCTGAGAACTTCATGAACTTAAGGGAAGGTATGAGGATACATAAGTTCAGGAAGCAGGAAGAACACCAAATTTCCTAAATACAGAGCAGCCTTCTCCAAGAGTTATCATTGTAAATAATCAAAAGTCAAAGAAAAGGAAAAAAAAATATTAAAGTCTGTTATAGAAAAAAAAGAAGCAGGTAATTTACAAAGAGACCCATATCAGGCTGAATTCAGATTTCTTAGCAGTTACCTTCCAGGACAGAAAAAAGTGGAAAGACATACTTAACAATCCTAAAAGACAAAACTGCCAACCGAAAATATCCTGAAAAATTATATTCAAATATGAAGATGAAATGAACACTTTCCTAGACAAACCAAAGTTAATAGAGTTTGCCACATCAGATCTATCTTATAAAAAATCTTGAAGGCAGTTCTGTAAGAATCAGAAAAAAAAAACAAAACACAAAACCCTGAGTAAAGGGACAATAGAGTGCAGAGTCAGAAATATAAACAAGAGTTAAAAATAAACAATAAAATAAGAGGGGAGAGAGAAACATGTAGGACATGTGTAGTTAAATGGTGACATGTTGATACCAGCTCATGAAGAAATTCTTTAGACATAGAAGTTTGAGATAATCTTTATGGTAACTACAGAGCAAAAATTTAGCATAGAGACACATGATGGAATAATTGAAGAAACTGGAAGAATTAGGGAAGGCCATTCAGATGGGAAGAAACATAAAAATAGAAGAATAAAAGACAATTAAAAAATCAAAAGAATGATAGTAAATAAACCTCTTATATGTGAATAATCATGCTAAACATTAAAGATCTCTACTCAGCAATTGAACATGACAAGTTGGGTCACAAAATATCAGCCATGGGCCTCCCTGTTGGAGTACTAGCCAAATATATTTTGCCTACAAGAAATTCATGTTGGCCCGCCCTGGTGGCGCAGCGGGTTAAAGCACTACACTAAGAGGCTTAAACCACTTCCGCATGAGTTTGATCCCCGCCTGCCCCGGAGGTGACCACATGGCACGGCAGATCTCTCCTGACCCGCCCGCTGCTCCCCTCCGCAGTGTACTTCATCTGTCCCTGTTCTGCTCCCCACTCTGTCCCTGGTGAATCCTCTCACCCTCTGCATCTCTGGCTTATACCCCAGTTCTATATGAATAAATAATAAAAAAAAGAAATCCATGTTAACACTGACTTAGAGTAAAACACCAGAGCAAGGTACTTCAAGCCATAAAGAGAGAGAAGCAGGATTTCCTATTCTTATTTCTGATAAATTACTCTTATAGCCAAAAAATGGTAATCAGGAACAAAGTTATATATTATGTAATGGTGAAAGGAATAATTCATCAAGAAAATAGCTATAATTAATATTTATGCACCCCAGTTAAGGGCACCTAACTGTGCAAAGCTACTGATAACAGACTGAAAACAACACACTGACAAAACTGCATTAATAGTGGGAGCACTCAAAACTAAGGGATCATCTAGACAGAAAGTAGACAAGGAAATAGAGACATTATATAAATTATAGGACCAGATGGACTTAACAGAACTTTGCAAATCCTTCCATCTCAAGGGTACGTTCTTTTCACATGAACATGGAATTTTTCAAAGATATACCATATGCTGGGACACAATACATTTGAAAAATTATATGAAAACAAATTATATTAAGCATCTTTTCTGACCACAATCTAATAAATCTAGAACTAACCACAAAATGCATTTTGGGATAAATGAAAACATGTAAAGAATAAACAAAATGCAATTGAAAAACTCTTTGGCCATGAAAAAAACAAAGAAAATGTTCAAAAGCATTTAAAGACTAACATAAATGGAGAGAAAAGCTACCAGGTACATTGGAATATTCTAAAAGTGTTATTATAAAGGAAATACCTAACAATTCTGGCTCACATTGAAAAATAAGAGAAGTATCAAACAATCTGCTTTACAACTGAAGAAACTAAAACAGTAACAAATGGGGAAAAAAACAGTAGAAAGAAATAATAAAAATTAGAGCAGAAATAAATGAACTAGAAAACAAAAAGACAGTATCAACTGGAAAAGATCATGCTTAGTGAAATAAGCAAAAAGAAAAGGAAAAACACCGGATGGTTTCTCTCATAGCAGGAATATAATGGAAAAGGCGAGAAAATAATGATAATGATGAACAGCTATATACCAGAGACATTTTATGGGGGTGGAGTGGGGAATGGGATCAAAAGCAGTGGGGGGATGGAAATGCACTGGACTTTGGTGATGGCTCATGGGTGATGGGAAGCTCAAGGGTATAACAGCTGAGATGGAAAAATACACAAAATGATTTAAAAACAAACTATTACACATATAAGACAGTATCAGTAAAACCAAGAAATAGTTCTTTAATGGATAAATTTGGAAAAATAAAAACAACTTAGCTAGGCTCACTAAGAAGAGGGGGAAAAAACACAACTA